ACATCGACCTTTGCTTTGGCTTTCTTCCGCCGGGCCTCCTCCTCTGCGCCCTCCTCGTCTGTGCCCTCCTGCTCCTCCCCGTCAAAAGTCTCGGAGGCTCCCGCGCCTCCCTCCGGCTGTGCCAGACGCTCGCCGCTCTTGATGAAGTTTGGGTTGCCAACCTGGCCGGGCACGCGGCCCTCTTTGACGGCTTTTGCGTGCCGCCGCTCCCGCCGCTTCTGGACCTTGCGGCTGAGGCGCTTCTTTTCGTCCTCGGGTCTCATCCTGGCCTCATCCTGGCCCGCCTCACCCTCCTCCTGCTGCTGCTCGGGCGGCGGCGCGGCGGCGACGAACTGCGCAAATGCAACGCGCTCCGAGCTGGAGAGAGCGAGGAAGGCACGCTTTGCCTGGTCAAGCATGCCAAGCTCCGAAGCCTCGAAAAGAATTCTTGCGGGCTTCACAGTGGCGCGCACTGGCACTAACAACACAGGTACACCACGGTAGCGCGCCTCGTGAGAGGAAAAAGAATTTTACAACCCGCTCAGGACGGTCCGGCACTACAAATGTATGTACTGACTGCCAGTCCCGTATACCCGTCCGTGTTCGGGTGTGCGACATCGAAACGTATGAGGAAGAGTCATTGGCAACCTATGATACTCTCTGCAGGCTGCGTCGAAAGCACGCCGACGTCGACTTTCTGTTTGTCGTAGGGTCAGACTGGCTTCAACCTGGGACCGATTTGAGAACGTGGGAATCTAGAGACCCCGCCGACCCGACTGGCAAGGGTCGCATCGTCACGGGCGACAAACTGGTGACCGAGTTTGACTTTCTCGTGCTCCACCGTCCGGGATACGACATTGAGGACCTGTCTGCGTTCGGTCCGCGCTTCAACATGCTCACCATGGCGGGAGGGATGAAATTTGTGACGACCGACATTTCATCCACGCAGCTCCGGAAGCGCATGGGCAACTCTCTACACATAAGAGAAGCGATTGGTAGCAATGAGGTCAACCTGGACCTGGTGGACGGACTGATGCCCCCCGCCGTTCTGAGCTTCATTTTGCGCAGCGGTGTCTACAACCAGAAGGCGGTGCAGGAGGCCCGGCGACGATCGATCGCCGCAGGCGCGACGGGCTAGAGGATATGGAAATCCAAACACACAATCGCACTCGGCACTCGCCACTGCGGCTTCTTGTGCTCTCG